AAAAAAAAAAAAAAAATCAGCCAAACACAACTTTTCCATTAAGAAATTATATGCATCAAGAGGAGCAGCAGAAACATCCATGTTCATGGTAAGAGCTTTCCCAGAGATTATATACTAAACAGTCTTAAGTAATCTAGGTATCTAAACATTATTCAGCATTCTGCACGCAAAAGCATCTAGCCATCTACAAAAGGCTTACCTGCATGTAGAATGTGTTGAAGTCATTGTATCCATCCCTGCATAAATGTAAATATCATCATCAGAAAATAACAAAAATAAAACAAAATCTAGAGAACCTTTCGGTATGGATCAAGCAACGTGATCATCAACAGCGACCATGCCAACAATTTTGATTAGTTTTAAAGAATAACATACATCAAGCTCATTCTAACAATGTCCATCCAATATCTTCAGCTGCAGCATTGAAAAATTTCTCTATTCACAGAGGCTTCAAAGAATCCGAATTGCATCAACCAGAAAAATACTCTTCAAACCAAAATTACCTATTGCGACGAAGCTCATGTAAAAATTAAAAATGTCTAATTTTCTACATATATACTCCATTTACCTGAGTGGTGGTGGTTCAAAATTAGCTTGTGACATTTCCTTTTTTTTGCATTGCATTAAATGAAAATAATATAATTTTGTGTTTCTCTCTTTCTGTTATTGGAGGGGGTCAGAGTATCGATTAGGCAGGATCAATGTTATTAATGGCGGATGGCGGTACATGGCGTTTTGCCAAAATTCCGCCATTGCAGCCGCCATGGCGGTCTATGGCGCCGCCATGACCGCCATAATTCACAAATTTTGCATGGCGGATTGTCAAAAATCCGCCACGCCATACCGCCATGGCGCCGCCATGGCCGTCATTTGATTATTATGGGCAGGATGAATCTCCAGAATAGAGTAGGGGCAATAAATTTAAAAAGGAAATGTTTCAAATTCCATGTAGATTTTACTGCATTCATCTTTGCTGACAATTGGAGGCCCCAATTTCAACAGATGACGCACATTCTACAGCAAGTTTTAATAAGACACCGGCCATGGGTTAACATCATGGCTATAATGTATTTGCAAAAGATGCCAATCTCTATTGAATGAAATGCTAAGTTCTTCAAATATCGATATGTGGCCCTATATGGCATCAGGTGACTCACCTGGAAAGCTGCAGTTGAAAAACACGACTAAGTACCATTCACCTATAAACCGTAAGATTAGGATTACTGACATATCAACCACATTCTGATGAATAGAAAATGGTGGTGTTTTCATACACAGTCTCCGCCACGACCATGAAAAGCTACCTCATGAATGTTATCCTAGAAGAGAACTTGCCAATCCAAGACAATAATCTTGCAGAGAGAACATAAAAGTCTTGGTTCCACAATCAATTTTGAACCAGAAACTAATTACAAAAAGTTAAACAGACAAATAATATCCTAAAACTCGAAAATAAACCCAGTCATCCATGTAATTCATTAAAGATACTGCTCAAAATTGACAAATGCTCAAGAACGCTGTTCCATTGTGTTATTAATTTACTTCTTACTCTCTCATGGGAGTGCCTTTAGAATGGGAATTGTGTTACCATACAGAAGTTCCATGACTTCTCAGGTATGTCCATTTGACCACAAAAGTCTATTCAGGCCAAAGATGAACATTCCACTGAACACTAACCATCATAATTTCCAAGTAAAATGTAGAAATTATAAATACACCACAAGTAGCAAAGTACAACAGAAGCCTCTGATTTTTCACAAACCAAAAACTGGTGTAACACGAAATCAGGGACAGCATGAGATACTCCAGTGAACAGGCCTAATTTATTGCAAAGCCAAACCACAGTATATGAATTTGACACATACAAGACTCTGAGCTTTATTCAACTGGATCTCTCAATTAGTCGGGATCTAGAAATCCCAATAACTTTGTTAAAATTGGGTTAGAATTTTATCCGAATTCTTTATTGATGAACATATATTCATAACTGTATCGAGAAAAGTTGGACTTAATACTATCACCTAAAAAACATACTTTTTGTAGTGTGGAGCATCCCTGTCCAAACGAGCAAGTGTGCCTGCCAAAATTGAGACCTGTGGAATTCATAGGAAAGAAGTAAGTTCCTAACATAATTTCACTGCTTTTGGGAGAGACTATGCAAAGTGACAAACTGATAAATAATAAAATGAAAACTTGGAACCAAAATCTATTGAGCCATTTTGCATAAAATCAGAGGGCAGATATAGTACTAGACATATAATACAGGCTCAGCAATATAATTACCTGTGACAAATCTAACTGGTATAGAATGTTTAATTGCAGTGATCTCTAAGGCTAGTTGGACAGTTGAATAATACGAGAAACCATATAATACATACCTTTTCTCCACTATCATTCCCAACCACTCTAATCTCAAGGCCCACACAAGCAGCCTCAGGAGCAAGAGGAATCTCCTCATAGCTAAGAAATTGTATTGCAGAAGGGTCGTAACGAAAGAAACCAAAATCGTGAACCTAAAAAGATCGAGAATTGGTGTCAATTACTGATACTAAAAACTTTTCTATATTCCTGCGGCTTAAGCAGAATTAATTCAACAACTCAAACACTACTTGATAGGAACAGAGCATTTCGTCACAAGAGTATTCCTAATAATACGCAACATTCCAAAACAGCTAGGCCATAAAAAATCCATTACACCATGCCCTCTGGCATCTGGTTCAGTGAACAATAGACTAAACTGACAAGTGAAGTAAACCCCATTCACTGTATAGCGTGGATTATCTTAAACCCAAACTCCATTTATTATGCATTCTGGAAGGTTGATAAGTATATCCAAAATATGACTATGAGGCAGGAATTTGATTTACACTAGCAGATCCATTTTCAATACTGCCAATATCTTAGTCCAACAAAAAAGATACACAAACACAGGAAATTTCATTTCAGTAATAAATTCATGATAACTACACCATTCGGCTACAACAAGTATGCCTAAACCTTAATATGTCGTGTAGATTATTCGCAAAAATCACCAGAATAAACGTCCAACAAAGCTAAAGTAGGTAAAGCTAGAATTTATGTTAATTAAAATGCGAATGATACTGATGTACCAATGTTCCTGAACTGTGCATAGTAATCACTACTTACCGGGTCCCTATAAATTGGATACACGGTAACTTCTTCTCGATTCACAAACATAGCTTCTGCCACCACCGGCCCTAGAACGACAAGAAGAAAGGAAAAATAAAATAATATAAAAGAAAAAACAGCAATAGTGATTAACCATCATCATGGTAAATAAAGATTAAGTTTTTGAACCGGGCTTCACGACATGGCGATTGGTGAGGATTATTCCACGGCTTTTGTCAACAACAAAGCCAGTGGCATAGGAAGCACCGGCGGACTCCGTGTCAAAGGCACGGCAGGCAGTGGTCCGGAGGACGACGACGGCCGGAACCACCTTGTTGAGTGCCCTACGCCAGTCCTCGGCGGTGGCGAGATTCTCTTTGAACGGCGGATCGATCTCCATGGACAGATCCTCCTTCATGCTTGTCTCCATCCCCGCCAATGCCGCCTCGGATCCCAACCTCTCCATTACAATTTTTCGAGCTCCGACCTCCAAAACCCTAGTTTATTCAAATTAATCGCTTTGGAATTGGAATTGTGCTAGGGAATAGGTGATGCAGGAATCTGAGAGCACAGGATAAAACTACTCCGGCGACTGTGCCGAGGGATTCTGGTGATATTTTGCAGGCAACTAATATTGAGGATCGAGGATTATATATAATATATATATAATTAATTATATATATGCATGCTCTTAATTAAAGTCTTAGGATTTATTTACTATTTTACCTGATTCGAAGCAGCAGGTCTTTTACAATTTACTGCATTTCAGTTCGAGCATACCGTCAACGTAGAGAAGACTTGGCCGCCAACAACATTTTTTTTGCAATTGGATAGCATTGGTGTGTGCGTTCACACATGGCTTCTGGAGTCTCACAAGGACTCTTGAAAATTGAAGATTTTTTTTTTCCTCAAAACGACATATATGTTATAAAACTAGAGAGAAAGAGAGAGAATAGAGAAAATGTCTCTCTTAGGTACAATTTTCATTATAATTGAAGCTCCTATTTATAGGAAACTTCTGATGGAACAACCGTAATAATACAATTACATCGGGGGCAAAATAGTCATTCACATATATTATTTTATAACAAATAATTCATAACACTCCCCCTTGAATGACTATTTCTAAACATATTTTAACTGATTTGAATAACGCCCAATCTGAATATCTTGAAGTGTATCTTGTAGCCATCGGTACTGGTGCTTCAGTATATCAGGAAAACCCGGTGGGACAAAACCTGATCATCTTGAAATTATAACATTGCTTCCTCAGGAAAACCCAGTGGGACAAAACCTAATCATTATGGAATCACAACATCTATCCTCAGGAAAACCCGGTGGGACAAAACCTGAGCATTGTGGAAGCACAACATTGCTCCCCCTCAAATAGATCATCTTTAATGGAGTATTCACGTGCTGCCTCGTTAAAACCTTGTCAAGAAAACCCAATGGGAAAAAACTTGATCGAAGGAAAAAGAGTACAGTTACTCCAGTGTTTTCTCATCATAATGAGGAATCATATCAATTATCCAGTAGTCCTCATTATATCATGAATGTGCCTCGTTAAAACCTTATTAGGAAAAACTCAGTGGGACAAAATCCTAATGAAGGAAAAAGAGTACACTATTCATGTGAATACGCCATCCATGTTGCCTCATTAAAAACCTTGCTAGGAAAACCCAATGGGACAAAACCTTAGCCAAGGAAAAAAGAGTACAACGCGTATTCCATATATTCACCATAATAACTTTTTCATGAGTATCATATAGATTCATTCAATTTTTCCGATACTGGTGGTATTCATGATAATATGTTATATTATGCTTTTGTGCAACTTTCATTCTTAAACTCATTTTTATCATCAACCGATTTCAATGGTCTTACTACCAATAGTTCTCAATATTCTCATTTAAGCCATTCTCATCAATATCATT